GTGTGTGCGTGCGTGCGTGCGTGCGTGTGTGCGTGTGTGTGTGCGAGCGTGCGTGCGAGCGTGCGTCTGTGCGTGCGTGCGTGTTGTCATATCTATTTATAATTCAAATCAAAATAGGAATCTGTTGGGTGTTTTTTTTGCTCCTCAATGCATTCGTCAAGCCATGTGATTATGTCCAGCTTTGTACATAATATATATATACACAATGTATACAGAAATAAGACTTTCCCTCACTGTGAACAGGTTTTTATGGTGTTCTTTTTCTGAGGACTACAAAGGCCGGTCCCAGAGTGGCTCTATAGGTCTGACCTTTCGTGGAAAGGGACATGAGAGAAATGAAGCTCACTTGGAACGAGCTTGGAAGGATGGCCTAGGACAGAGATAAATGGAAGGAGCTTGATTGTGGCCTATACCCTGCCAGGGGTGAAAGGCATAGATGATGATGATGATGATGATGATGATGATGATGATGATGATGATGATGATGATGATGATGATGATGATGATGATGATGATGAAACTTAAACATTTAATTTATTGATTTATATCATTTTTTTCAACTGTTCTGGTACCGCAATGGCGGATTACGAATACATCTAATGATTATGGCGGAGATAGGCTACAATGATAACGTTTAGATGACGTACATCTTTCACGACTGTATTGGTGCTAAAATAAAGAATTATAAATGTTGGTTATAGTGAATATGAATCTTTTTCCTTCAGGCTATTTTATGACCACTGTTTTGGTGCAAAAATGAAAGATTACAAATGCTTATTATAGTGTAGATAAAATTGTTATCGTTACATTATGTTACAACTGAGTATTGAAATAATAGGCTACAATTAATGGTGAATATAGTGAAGATCGAACTTTCTCATAGTGTAGATCATTTCACAATTGTAATGGTACTGAAATGAAGGATTAAATGGTGATTATAATGGAGAAGGAAAACATTAACCTTCAGATTATTGAAAGGCTGTACTGGTTCTAAAGACGACAGGATTGCAATAAAATAATGCTGATGTTGCTGGAGATGTAGTCTCAACCATTGGCTCTTGGGAAAGGTGGGACCACGTAAAATCGTCCTTTAGAACCAGTTCCACGTATCAATAAGGTTTTAACGAATATTTCAGGAGGAACAAAATACTGATTAATGTATGTATGTAGGAATGATCAACACACCGGAAACGATCCAGCCCTAAAAGCGCACCACATCATACGTGGTTTAGGAATTGTTTGGCTTTACTCTTGCGTCATCCAAGTTGTAACAATATTGAAGTCCATTCCGCACATCTCAAGATGAGCAAACAGCCCTGACAAGGAAACAGTTAGTTCATTTTGCTTTTTATAGCGATTTTAGGGGAGGAAACTTAATTAAACTTATACAGAAATAAAGCCCATTATACGCGCTTTCGATTGGTGAAAAAATTTTTTTATTTTTTTTGCGCCAAAATCATGATATGTGAATCTGGCTCTTATAGGATGAAATGTAGGCCTAGATCATAGAGTTACCTCCTTTTAAACTATATGTGGCCATCGCGCAGCAAGGCGAGAGAGGGGCGTACGGTATCTAGTACAGTACTATAATGTACATCTATGGCTTAGATCAACGTTGTCAGTCGCGCGATACACGATCAGATAGATATATACATATATATATATATAATATATAATTTCCGTGGTATATTTCCCAGTGACCCTTGCTGCTAGTGAACTGCCTATGAAGGTTGTGACGTGCGGTTCTACTTTTGTTTCAACAGACAGTGGAATTTTTGTTTTGTTTTGTTTTGAATTTGGTTGTGGTTTTGGTTTGTTCTTTGGTTTTTCACGTATTTATTTAGATGTCTATTTATGTTATGTTATGTTATGTTATGTTCTGTTATGTTATGTTATGTTATGTTATGTTATGTTGTGTTATGTTATGTTATGTTGTGTTATGTTATGTTATGTTATGTTATGTTATGTTATGTTAGTTATTTTTTTATTTTTTTTATTTATTTGTTTATCATTTTATTTATTTCGT